GATCAACCGCGCGATGTGCAACAAGATGACTGGCTATCGCGGGCCGGCGATTTTTTTTCTTTTCCGCGCGCTCGTAGAGCGTCGGAGCTCGTTATATCGTTCTAACAAAACCAAGTTTATCTTATTGAGCGTCGCGAGTTTTTTCTTCCTAGGCCGTAGGTAACTCAAATTTCTCCCCTCGTCAGCCCTCGGCGAAATTCCCACGAGAAACGCGCGGGGAAAGGGTTGGCTTTTTGCCAGCGAAATAATTTTTCTTCGAGCATACGGGCGATTTGCATGCGTGGCATGTTTTTTCGTTTATCTGTCCTTATACTCCTTACTCTCCCCTCCCCCTCTCTACTCCTTTTTCTCCGTATTCTTTCTCTCTTCAAAAGTGCATCTATATTATTTTATCGGTTTAATTAAAGTTTTAGAGATTTATTTTTTTTTAGCGCTTTACTTTGTTTATCTTGAAAAATATATTATATTTTCTTTCTCTCTATTTTATCGCAAGCGTTCGTTCTCTCGTAACATTTATTTCTTAGTACACGAGTAGTTTCTAACTTTAACTCTCTCTGCGGTTTTCTTCCCCGTTCTCTTTTTCTTCTCTCCACGCCTCTCGCTCTCGGCTCTCATTTCCCTCTACACGCGAGCGATCCCGTCGTCTTATAGTGCCGCCTGCCGCCTGCCGCGCCGGATTAAGCGCGAAAAATGCCGATACACACTACGCGTAGCTTACGCAGGCGGGCACACGAAACCTTCCGGGACAAGTTTCTTCCAGTCGATTGGCAAGTGACGGAGCGTCACGGGAGGTCGATCAGTCCGTCTCGACGTTGGAGTAGGTCGAGACGCGCCACGAATCTCCCCGTACGATCAGTATACCCCGAAAAAGAGACACGGTCGAATCGCGACGCCGATCGAGATCTATATTTCGTATTCGTGCTTGGCGTCTTTGGCGCTAAATGTGATTATCCGAACCCGAGTTTTTTTTTTTTATTATGCGCGAAGATCGCATATAGTATGCTAATCAACGATCCATTAACAACCATCTCTCATTTGAGATATATAAATATATATATATATTTTTTTTTATATAACGTTATAAATATATATTAGGATATATACTAGAGTTCAAATATACTATAGATCGATATTTTAAATTCGGCTTATAAAAGAGAGTTATTCGTCTAATAGCGTTAGAACGGATTCAAGGAATGCTCGCGAGGAAGAGCACAGATTGGAGTGCCGGGTAGATCGAATAGATCTTCTTTGTCTCGGAAGGACACGGAAATCTCTCCGGGAAGAGTGCAAGTTTAACGGAACGCGTGGTGTAAGGCTTTCGCGCGAACGCGAGGTGAACGCGTGGATCTTTCTCCTCGGATATCTCGGCGGCGTCGCGTCATTCAGCGGCCAGTATCGTTCGCGCTCCAAGGAGCGCGTCGTCCTCGTTCCGGAATGTGCGGCCGCGCTACGCGATCCTGAAGAAGGACGGTGTTGGATCGGTCTTAAGGCTAATTGTAAGTTTCGCGGCCGGTTTCGCGAATGCAAATGACGAAGGAGCACGTGGACGGCACGAAGACGTCAATGTCGTCATGGCGGTTCCATAATATCGGAACTGTCGGCCAATGTTTGCCACGCTGGCTGCACAATGGGGCAAATCCGGAAATGAAACACGACACCGGCTCGTCGTCCAGTTGCTCCTTCCCCCTCCCCCCCCCCTCCCGGCCCCTCTTTTCTCTCTGCGATGATGTCAAGCTTGCACGTAGTCAATGGAGAGACCAGTCAAGTACTAGTTTATCTGTTTACCTTTTCCATCGCTTTTTGTCAAGGAAGGCGAGTGAGTAACTTGACTTGTCTTCCTACTGGCTTCGTGTGTACTCGTGATTTTTTGCGTTGACTCTTACCTCTCGTATGTGTGCGCACGCGAGTTCTCTACAGTAGGTGGATCACAGTTAAATCGCGGTGGTAGGAGCTAAGTAAAAAGATCACAAAATATGGCACACTGTTGCCCGAGTTCATCGTTCGGCACTTCGCGGCGCGGCTGGTCGTTGGCTGGTGGGGGCGGCGGTTCCGATGGTGGAGGGTGACAAAGAAAAAGAAGAGTGCAAAGTCAAAGGGAGGGAGAGGGAGACGAGGTAGGAGCGCTTGGAGAACCGACGGAATCGAAGTACGAGGAGGCGGAAAAGGAAGGAACGGAGAACGCGCGAGACGAGACGACGAGAGAGGATCTACCTAACGCACTGTCAGCTGTCAACGGCGTGCACGTTGCCGATGATCTTCTTTAACAAGCGTTACGACTCTTCACGCTGAGACGAGACAGATCGACAGCTCGACACCCTCGAGGCTCTCCCTTGGTCTCCTCGAAGGATCATGTTGGTCCCTCGAAGATGGATGCAGTATGGCTTTCTCGTCCAATTTCTTCCTGAGATAACGAATGGTGCCTGTCTTCTTACGCAATTTTTTCTTTCAAGAATCCATTGTCTCCACCTGTCGATCGGTCCCACCGTTTCAAGTGTTTCTTGGGTCACCCAGTAATGTACCACTCGTTGCTCCTTGTTTTTCATCCAGATTGGTCCTTGTATCTTCTTTTTTCCGTGCTGACAGTGCGTAGACGAGGAAAGGGGATAATGATGAAGTGGGAAATGTCGCTGACTCCCGTGGTCAGGATTGTCGTGATTTTCGTGATGTTGATAGTCGTCGTCGTCGTCGTCGTCGTCGTCGTCGTCGTCGTCGTCGTCGTCGTCGTCGTCGTCGTCGTCGTCGTCGTCGTCGTCGTCGTCGTCGTCGTCGTCGTCGTCGTCGTCGTCGTCGTCGTCGTCGTCGTCGTCGTCGTCGTCGTCGTCGTCGTCGTCGTCGTCGTCGTCGTCGTCGTCGTCGTCGTCGTCGTCGTCGTCGTCGTCGTCGTCGTCGTCGTCGTTTCCGTCGCACTCTCGCCTCCCCGTATGTGTGTGAGTGTATGTGTGTGTGTGTGACACGGTACGCGCGTGGTGTCGCGTGAAGTTGGTCGTGCGTGCGCACCTTGTGCTTCGTTAAAGAGTCTTTTCCGTATAAAATGCTGGGGCGCCGGCGAGAATCGGCTTGGCCGTCGCCGCGTAGGCTTCACGCCGGCGTCCTCGCCGCGGATTGGCCGTATACGATACAGTGGGGGGCACTGGCGCGAAGGTCCGAAGGTAGAGTACTCGCCTCGAGAAGCCACCAGAGCGGATCCAGGAGAGAATGAGAGTGGGGTAGCGCTCGTTGCTATTGCCGGCAACGCACACTCTATCTACATGGGGTTTCAGGAACGGCTAGGGTTGCATAGATCGAATGATGATGATAGGTTACAATGATGATGGTAGGTTGAATAGACCCGAGAACCGAACTTTAAATTTTCATTTCAATTTTGCATTTATTAATAAGATATTAATGATTCCGCAATTAGATGAAATCTATTATATGACAATGATAATCCATTATCATATATAAATTGATTCGACGCATCGCGAGCTCGGAACTCTCGCGGACGTCGAGTGTGACTCACAAACGAATTCGCTGGCGAAGAGCATTTTATTAGCTTCAGGAGACGGACGGCGTGGATGTCTAGCGTGAATTTGGACCGCCAAAAATAGTAGTGGTTCGGAGGGAGTTTCTAATCTGAAAGTAGTATACGATCGACCAATGGTCTTCCCCTAAATTTGGGACCGTGCTCTAGTGGGGACGTAGATGCGTAGTAACGCGATGAGATAAATTCTAGTGGGGATGAAGGCCCGTGGAAGAAACGCGGTCGGACCCGTGGTACGGTCTCGTCGAGCAGACTTTCCTCTTTCGCCCATCGGCGGGACAAGGACGCGATCGAGACAAGAAAGAAAAAGGCCGAGAGAGTAAAGAACCTAGAGAGAGAGAGAGAGAGAGAGAGAGAGAGAGAGGGAGAGTCAAAGTATCTATCTGACAATACTCATCTTTTTCCTTTTCTCTCTGTCTCACAGTCTCTCCGCAGGCTCTTCCGTCCTCGTTTCGCATTCGCTTTACACATGTCGAACGAAGGACAAACTGCACGGTTGTACGTACATATATATATATATATATATGTAGGATGCATTCTCATCGCGCGAAGAGATTACTTCGCCCAACTGTCCGCAGTCAAATGCGCTGATGTTGCGTCACGATTGTGCGTACGTCATCGCGTTGCGCCGATAAACGCCGTCTCGCGTTATTCCGATCCGCGTCGGCGAAATTATGTATGTATATATATATATCTAAGAATCGCGTTTTTCCTTTTCCGGTGAAAGGGAGGAAGAGGTCACGCTGATAAGAACCAGAGGATCGATACGATTGCGTGCATAACGGCGCGCAAAGTACGCGCGACTATTCCTCGTCGTCGACTCTCTTTCGGCACGGCAACAAAAAGGACAAATAACACCGGATTTAAGAACCGGCTGCATCCGTGCAAGACCGTGTCAGATTACGCACCGGTTCTCCGTCCTCCTCTCTCTCTCTCTCTCTCTCTCTTTCTCTTTTTCTCTCCGAGATTTTCCCCTCGCTCTGGCCCCCCGCCGCTGCTGGTTTTGCTCTTCGCATCGCGCTGCGTTGCATCCGTGCTCTCTGAACGGCGAGAGCCCGGCATAGTATACGGCATATTAAACTAGCCGCGATAAATGAACTTCGATATTAATTAAGCCGACGCTGACGTTACAAATCGCTTACGGGCGCGACGACGGCGCAACGAGAGGCTCCCCGTTTTTATTCGCGGTATAATCGAAGCCGCAGTAACGGCACACCGATATTTCGCACGACGGTAATACAATTCCGTAACGTTTCGTCCCGATTCGTACCTTTCCCGTCTTTCTCTCCCGCGTTGTTTACGCAGCGGCACACGCACCGCCATCGCGAGATGGCCAGCGACGAAATCCTGCTTTCACGCTCTCGCTCGGGGTGGGGCGGGAGCCCTTGGTGGGGGAAAAGAATCAAGAGACCGACGCCGTCGCCTCTGCCTGTGTGTACAAACACACATATCGGCCGCCTTCGCTTGTGGCAGTAACCTTTCGCGTCACGTATTTTTTTTATCATATCAAACGTATGCTAACAGTCGGCGTGACGGGACGGGACGGGACGAGACGAGACGAGACGAGACGTGTGTCTCGGCGAACGAACGCGGTCGCGGCTCTGCGGCAAGGTAAGACAATATGAGCAGACTTGTCGGTGGTCAAGTATCGCCGGTACAGTCCGTGGAAAATCATTCCTTCTTCGCGCTCTCCTTCCGACTCTTTGTTTTCGTTTCCTGCGCGCCGGGAAACCTGCGAGGCTTACGAGCCCGCACGCTCTCTAAACATCGTGAAACGCGGCTTTTCAGAGAACGATCCGACGACAGCTGGAGCTCGAGGGCGATAAGTCCCGAGCCGTTCGATAAGTCGTACAATATTGTATGCGATATTGTGAGAAGGGAAGAAAAAGAAAAGTCGCGTCTCACAAAGGAGATCGGTCGGCGAATCGATATCGGTCGCGACGATCGTAAAACGACGATGCGTAGAACGCGAGGGAAATTATCTCACGAGGGTAATTAACGTCAAGCACGACGATCGGCCGTGTAATAAATTAAGAGCTCCGCGGAAATGTAAATATTGAAAATATCGCTCTCCCGGCGAAACGACGCCGTTCGTTGTGCGTTGTCGGTACGCCGGCCGCGTTTATGTTTACACTCGGTCGATCGGGCGAGGTGGCATTAACGTCTCGATATCCGCGCAACCTTGACCGAGTACGCGACCGATTGCTGAATCCTCGACACTGGAGACGACCCTGAGACGTGCCGATGCGGAGTCGCACGACCAACGTCCGACTTCTTTATCCGCTATCTTATCCGCATCATCCGACAATTTTTTTAAGTCGCTGTCTCTCCATCGACCTCTCTTTCTCTCTCTCTCTCTCTCTCTCTCCTTCTCTTTTTCTTTCTCTCTCTATCTATTGCCGTCTACCTCTCATCCTTCTCATTTTCTTCCGTCACTCTCGCGCTCGAGAACAGCTAGGCTATTCACCCACGCATGCACGACGAGATGACGATGATGATGATGCCGGGAGCGCTGGCTGCTGCAATATGCAGACTCCGAACGGTCGCTGCTTTCCCGTTTGGCGCGCGGCGTTATAGTTACCGCGAGCGTATAAAGAGCGCGACAATAAAATTCGCATTCTGAGGGATAAGTATGTCTTAACCATTTATATTGTACTGGCATGCCTTTCTTAATTAGCAATTAAAGTAAACTCGACTAACGTAACTTCTGTCGTAGCATCGCGCGGATGCATCTCAATGCGATTCGCTTCGCGCATCGTTACCGATATCTTTACGACACTTTCCAGGGACTTTCGACAAAAGCATCCTCTCTTTCGCACGAATTGCAATTTTTAATCGATCGAATTAATTTTGCGGCGCGAGACAAGATTGCTTCCCCACTTTCTAATCGTCTGACCTCCATTCTTAATCTTAAAAGAATGAAAGAGAAAAAAAACGTCGATTACTTCTTGTCGTATTTTTCGCGGATTTTTTTTCTTTCTCGCGTTGCGGCGTACGAGTGACATTGGTGCATCGCCGTCATTGTCGGTGTCTTTGTCGCCGTCGTGGCCTCGCTGACACAGATTCCGAATCGGCTATTTTTTCCTCCGGCCTACTCGCGCTTTTTTATCTCCGCTTTTGTGGTGCGTGCACGCCTTTTTCTTCCCCGCGCGTCTCCATCCGCAGACAGCGCTCGCTCGTTCGCTCTTTCCTTTCCTTTCTCCGCACGCGCCCATCTTTTTCTCTCTTTCGCCTCTCCTCCTCTCCCTCGCATTCCCAGCCAGATCCTGACCTACGACTACGGCCAGGCCAATGTCTGAATTTCGGCCCGTTCGAGCGAATGGCGGTCTGGTCCCCTCAAGATGTCGGATGTTAATATAATGTCATATTTTAACATTAGATTTAGTTTAATCTCTTTATAAAAAGTAACCAGATAAAAATTCGCTGAATTTTACATTAAATACTTGAAAATATTTTATTTTTCGAGATTATATTGTAATTTGTATTAATTTAGGTCCACATCTAATGAAAGACTCATATACGAGAGATCGTTTCAAAAGCTATAGCTTTTTGATAGAAAAGATATTTCCAAAAATCTATCGAAAAAATTCTGTATAATAACAATAGGTTCACGCGTGTGTGTATACAGAAATAAAACCGCGGCTGCTTTAGATACGCTGCATTTCGATGAACAGCTCCAAGTGCACGCAAAATGCACAGATATATATATATATATATATCTGTCTCGCTATCGCTACAAGAGAGAACTCGGGAATTATCCTCCTCTCGCTTCTTCTCGCGCGCGTCTGTCTTCGTCTCCTTTTCTCGCTCTTTTTCTCCTTTCTTCCCGCGCTCTCGCAGCCAGATCCTGACCTACGACTACGCTTTCGTGCAAGCGCGCGAATTTCGCCCGAAAGTCGACGCAGCCAAAGGAGTGGATTTGCGGGCCTCCGAGATCGCGGAGCAACAGTGGGGTTTCAAGCCCATGGGCCCGTGAGGGGAATCGCGACGTAAGGAAAGAGGGCGGACAAGAGGGAGATCGAAGTAGGTGGTGGAGGTGGACGTAAGAACCGAGGGGAACGAGGAGGACGTCCAGGAGGATGCGGTGGTGGCGGAGGACTAAGCGACATGGCTCACGGTACTGGAAACAGAAGGCGGGAGGGCTTGAGGGAGGTAGAGGGAAGGCTCGACAAGGAAGAAGAAACGAAGAAGAAGAGGAAGAAGCAGAGGAAGAAGAAGAAGAGAAGGATGAAGAAGAAGAAGAAGAAGGGGGCTGATCTAGCGGCAATATACACACGGAACGGCGCAGACCGCGGCAAAACTCCGCAGTTTTGCTGTTCGATTTTGCAAACTTATATTTAGAAGGGCAACGATCTTTTGCCGCGCACGCGGCGGTAAAGAGAGGAGAGGAGAGGAGAGGAGTGGTTCTCGGATACGCGCGCGGTCTCTCTCACGAGACAGACGCTAAGATTTCTCGACCGCGAAAGAGCCACGAAATGGCAACTCTCGCTACCTATATATATATATATATATTCAGGAGGATAATTCTTTTTATAGGAAACTCTCTGTGAGCGTTAATATTCCATTGCGTTTCGCGATATTTTCTTTTTTTACGAGCAGTCCCTCGCGATACTTGGCTGCTAGTCGTTGATGAAAGAAAGCCGGCAAACTGTCTTTGATAATCTCTAATTTATTTTAATGACGCCGAAGCGTGACTCGAGGGGAGTAAGAGAGACGAACCGAACGCCGCCGACGCCGCTACGCGTTGTCGGAGGTCAGGTTCACCAGTCGCGCGATGCGCTCGATCTCTTTCTTCGCTCCTCGTTCTCGATGGAAGCTCGAGGGATCGACGATTGCGCGAACGCAATTAACACGATTATTATTTTTCTTTTATCGATTTACGAGAGCTAACCTTCGAACGACGGATAAAAAAATTAGAGCACGGTAGACCACGTATCACGCGATATCAATTTTAAAGCAATTATATATATATATATAT